ATCTACTATGCAGAAAATGCGACCGGGAAATGCTTCATCACATCAGGAAGTAAAACTCATGCACTTCAAGTAGACACATAAATGGTTACATTTACAGCCTTTTAGGACTAGCTTGATGATAAGATTTGCATATTATAAACATTAGATTTTTTTTTGTTCCATTATTATATATGCATCATAATCATGCACTTTATAAACTGCATTGGTCTAATCTAGCATGCAAATACATATTGCATGTAAATTGTGTGAAATGGACTTTCCACATACAAATGAGACCTTTCACAACAATAAAGGTGTCCTTATTTGGAATATTGTTGCAGATGTTTTACATGAGGCTGCCTTTTTTGTGTAAATTATTTAATATCTTTATGGTTAGAAGGTACTTATAATGTTGTAATTGTAAAAACAATGCACGCTTTGCTGTCTAAATTCTGGAAAAAATCTCCCTTCCCTTTTTACAGTTTGGTATAGTCTGTGCCACATTTCAACTTCAAAACCTTAGAACCTCCTGTATAAACTGAGAGCTTTTTTTTTTTTTTAACTTATAACTCAAATCATTATGTTGTATTTTTGATTTGTCGATGTAGGTAGGCCTATTGTATAATCCAGAAACTTAATAACTTACTTTTCAGGAACTAATTATTAAACATTCATAATAAGTGCACTGCATTTAGTTTTGTCCCGGCTATGCTGTTTTACATGCTGGCTCACTATCATCATAGCTAAATTGAATGGAGTCATAATAACTGAATTTTCTGCTAAAACAGATCTAACTTAATGTGTGACTAGCGTCTTTCTCCACGGCTCTATGAGTAAATGTGTTACAGCTCATACATAGGTTGGGCCAACTGCATTTAAGGGAAGTGGGACTTGCAAAACCGCCGGGTTTTATCTTGCAACCCTTTGATATAGACTTTTATCTGTGTGAGGCTATCTATGCCAAAAAAGAGCAAGCACTTAAGTAATACACATAACTATCTCCTGTCATCCACTGCACTGTTAGGCCTATTCCAAATAATTGAAGTTTGATAGGAAATGAAATTCTGCAAATAAAAACAAGATGACAAACCTGTTTTCTTGTGCTCGTTGAGTTGAGTGAGTGTTGAGCCGAGGGGAGAGGGGGCCTGTTTGACAACTCCCTGGCCTCTGGTGTTTTTGTGGTACTTGCTGATCCACTCAAACCTGGGTGCCTGTGTGGTCGACTTGCAAACATCTAAAGAAAGACAGACATAGAGAAACTTTGTGAGCGAACAATACAACAAGAACCGTATCTGAACTCCTGCTTTGTTTTCAGGCTAAAGTAGAGAAGGTATAGCAACAGCAACAGAAGAATGAATGGTTTAAACAAGAGTGTTTATTCATTTACTCAACTTAAAGCATTTATATGTCTTGCTCTTACATCTGGGTCTTACTTTGAGGTTGTGAGACCATTTCCCCAATTTGTATTCTAGTGCTTTACATTTAAATCCAAGTTACAGGACGCTTTTGTCTGCGTACCTTTACCACACTCTTCTTTTTAAGAACAACAGGTGTCAGGTCATTTCATATTTCCATCCCTGGTCTGCCTCACCAGATTAACACAGTGTGGTCACCACAAAACACAAATAGCAAATCAGTCTTCTCATGTGTAGTTTCCACTGTGAAAAATAGTGAGCCAGTGGCAAAAGTGACACTCCCCTAACAAAACAGACTGTCTGTTAACCACCTAACCAATTCCATGTTTAAACTGTTCTAATTTGTTTGCCATTGCCAATAAATGCTACACACACCATCCAGACTCCACCTCTTCTCTCTTTGTCAGCATCTTTGTCTTTTTGTCAGCCATGTGTCATGTCCAACATAAAGTAACTGACAGATGAAGTAACCAAACCTGTTAGTGCTTCTAAAATTGGCACAAGTTCAACATAGTTATCATCCGTCTCAGACATATTTCTGTGTACCGCTTTTAAATGTTTTTTCCAATAAACTAATGCCACTTTTTAAATATAGGTTTTATATAACACAATGTCAACACAGGGCAGATGAAGACTGGCTGAGCAGGTTTCCTCTAAACAGATGGTTAGAGCAGATTATTTGTACTTCTTCACTCATGGATGCCTCCTACATTGTTTCGAAAATAAAATCTTAAAATATGAACTACCAAACCCAAATGTATGCAAAAAGGGGAGGGTTCACGTAAATGTACTATTTTAACAGATTCAAACCATTAATTTACATGGGCATTTTTCTTTTTACATTTCCAAGAACTTCATGGACATTTTCAAAGGCTTTGAAGCAATTACAGCAGGACATCCTGTGAAAATATCCCACATCTCTGAGGGCTGACCTACCACTCCACGCCCTGTTGACCTCACTCAGGAAGAGCCGGGAGTGGGACCCAAAAGGAAGTCGGAGCTCTAATTCCTCTTCCTGGTGGCTTACTCTCACTCTAGTATCAGCACCTAGAAATCCGATGAAGAACAAAGGAGTAAATACCATGTTCAGTTTCCTTCTGTGGATCAGTAATTTAGCACATTATGATTAAGCAAAAATGGACTCACCCACGACCGCAAGTTCCTCTGGTGAAGAAACTAAAAAAAGAGTGAAGGGTGAGAAATGTGTGCGAGGGCACTTCTGAGAAACGACTGTAATTGTATCACTAGAACCCATAGTTATTTAGAGAACGCATTATTATCTGCAATAAGGTAAAACATAGACAAGCAGCTCACCCTCCACAACAGCAAAGTCGAGGGAGATGGGTATGATGTCCTCCAGCGACACGTCATCAGCAGTAATAGCCATCCTTCGATGGGTATAAATAAAGATTCTACAAAATATGACAACAGGAATTTAATGGCAGTGGGATGCACATGCAGGGGTGGACAAGATAAAAAGACACCTTTATTAAAATACAATTAAAACCACTACAGTACAGGCTTGCGACTTGGCAATAAATGCTTCCCTTTTCATATATCAGTTTGTTATAGAGGCTGATGCAACTCACTGGTCATTGTAGTGTCAGTTTGTGTTGTTGATTGCATGATACAGTCACTCCCTCTACTTACAAAATGACATGGCTTTGAATAATATACAGGAGCCTTTTTAAGACTTACGCATGCTCTTTTGTAGACTCCACCAATCCCAGCAGTCTGCTCTCTGTAACGTTATCAAAGAAGACATCGCATTGGACAGCATGTTTACAGTTTAGTTAAGGATAATGTGGAAACATGTTCTTGTGTTCCTTCAGTGGCCTTCATATTTCATCTGAAAATATGACCTACTTCTGGTTTTCACTCATTTCTTTCTGTACAATGGCAAACATTTTAAATGTGTTTTCTTACAGTAAGTGGTGCTTTTAATTGAGTATTTCCATTTCATACTTATTCCTTAATTTTCACAGAGAAATATTGTACTTTTTAACCCCACTTTGTATCTGATGGCTGTAGTTACTTTGCAAATGATCATTTACATATTACATCAACAACTTGTAAAAGATGTGTCAAGTTTGACTTCTAAAGAAAATGGTTAAGGTTAGCTTCCCCTCCACCAGATGCAGCATTACATTGCTGCTTACATGTTTGTGCTTATTAATAATAATCAAAAAGCGGAATATAGCATTTTCTGCTGCATAAAAGTACTTTTAATTTTTGATAATATTCATGATAATACAAGGACTTCATCAAATGTATGAATCCATTACATTTTACTTGTAATGAGTCATTTTTAATAATTATTTTTTAGGTTTACTGAAAGTGAATTACTACCCCTATTGCTTCACCACTACCTTTGCATTATGAAAAGCAGCAAAGTGCCATCTTGTGGCTGAAAGGTCTCACTACATACATTGGCACAAACCCCTGGGAAGTCACACCCGACTAAACCCACACCACCCACACACACTATAAAATCGTACAGTGTGAATGCACAGCCCGGATTGAAATCACAGTGAGGTTGTGGGTAACTATAAATAGATGTCAACCGAGTGGCAGCGCCCTAATCTGACAAGCCTCTCCCAGAGCTCTGATATTCTTTCAATTCAACTTGAAGCAGGAAATCCTTCATTTGAAGTGTTTAAAATCCATAAAATAGCACGGGAACTTTGCAAAGGATACTATAATGCAGTTTTCTTTCCTTTCCAAAGTTTCTTGAATTGCGACGGATTGATCCATGGTGAAGATTTGCGTGTCAACTCCTGCCTCCACGCTTCCCACACTCGTAAATCCCCGGTGGAGCTTCGAGAAACTCCAGTTATTTTTCTGTAAATGCACAGCAGGAAGAGAGACACTTCAGGAGCCTCGTGTAATCCGACATTATTCCCTTCAGGTCCAGATGTTTTCTTCTTCCTGCTGGTCCGGCCCAGTCTGCTGCCACGCACTGGTTCAGGATCAGTGCTCTGACGTCACATCTGGGCTGTCATCAACAATTTGGATTAGGCCTCAGGCGTTTCATCCAAACCGGATTATGTCTCACTATGAAGCAGATACAACCCAACAAACAGAGTTTTGTCAATGTTTTTCTGAGGTTTTATGATCCAGCAGGTCAACCAGGTTTAAATGGGTTTATAGTTTTAAAGGAAAACAATTTACATTTTTTCAGTATAAAATGTAGGAAATATACTTTTATTTTGAGTTAAATGTAGTTTTTAGTACAATAGTGAACTTTTTTTATTTGCAAATGGCCGTCTTTTTGGAGGACTAACATAAGGTAGATTTAAAAAAAGAAACACATAAATAAATAAGCTTTTTTGGTAAGACTGACAATAAAAAAAAAGGATTGTATTGTTTGATCAGCTCATCCCCTATATCTTGTTTTTTTATGTAAAACCTTACGCTTAACATTCATCAGTAACTATATAAAAGTAGAGGTAAATCCACTTAGTTAGGTCACACCACTTTAACACCAGGAATCAATTATTTAACCGTTTGATTAAGTAGGCAAAAGGTTGCAGAAAACACCAAACAGACAAAAATGACAGGACCTAAGATTTCATATGTGAATTATTCAAATGAATATTCACGATATATAGTTTATTATAGCTCATTTAATTATAAGGCACAATCATATTTTACACAGTACACACAACTAGAATACATTTTAACATTTCTAATTGCATTTAACATTTACATGACACCATTATACCTTAAAATATTCTCTGTAAACCACACAATATAGACACCTCAAAATTCACAAAAATATCAACTAAAGAGTAGCTCAAAGTACTAAATTGCACACTTCATTAAACCTTCAGCAAACCTTCACAACACCCTGTAACAGCTCAACATGTGTGTGTTTCATAAAGTGCATTTAGAGTCAAAGCTGTGATACTCTCACAATGGCAGAGAAGATAATCTAGGGAGAGTTTAAAGTAATAAAACATTTCTAACCACATCAATAAAAAAAAACGTGTTTAGGCTCACTCACCCGGAAAAAAGTAATTCCGATAGGTGCAAACAAAAACAGTTTTAGCTTTCTTCAAGAGAACAGTTCCTGAATTCAGTTATGGGCAAGTTCATGTCTCAAATAAATTACATGGTGATTCAAAAATATTTCTTAAAAATCCACTGAGAAAAAAGGTTTAAAGTGAAAAATAATTGTTAATTTTAGAGGTGATTTGCACCTAAAATGTAAAGTGATTCCTGAAGTTATATAAGATATAATTTTTCATTTACAAATACTGTTCAAGCCATTTTGGTTGTTCTTGAACTAGAGATAAAAAGGGATTTAGAAATGTAAAAAAAAAAAGGAGACACAAAGTCAACATTGTAACTGAGGCTTTACACATTCCCTTACATATATACATTACAATCACATGTGAATATCAGTGAGATAAATGAAGTAGTGGTATCCTCTGCACTGCTAAGCTTGTTCTCTGGAGGAATGACACAAAGCTCTGATTACCTAATGACCCGCAGAGCAGCTGAGCTAGCTCCTACTCAGAGACTCAGAGCAGTAAATTGATGGCGAGCAGGCAAAATAAGGAAGCAACCAATTCTGTGTGGAGATGAGGACCTCTTGTGGAGAAATTAGGGACATTCAGCGTGCCGTTCAACCACAGGCAGGAGGTCATAGTGGCGTTGCAGCACTCCAGGTGACATGGAGGTTCTATGGAGGCCTTGCATGGAGTCTGGGCAGAACAGTTGGTGGTGCAGCCTGCGGTCCACTTCAAAACAGACTCCTTTTTCTCCTTTTTCAGCTGAAAAGGCAATAGTGAGTGAGAAAAAACATTGAAGGACAAGTGGTTGAAAGTCTAAATAAGAGTGTGTGTTGTCGGTCTATTCATTCGAGAATACAATGAGCATATTGTATACATAGAAACTTAACTTTATTAGAATATCTTAAAGAAACAAGCAGAAAAAAAGTGCTGATACGAGCCTTTTACATAATTTAAGCCTGTGGGCTGCCAACATTTTTCGAAAGAGAATTTGAATGAATTATTAATATTTTCAGTGATTTACAAGCACAACAACTAGTTGATGTAACATGGCTTCACATAAAATACACTGTATTATAGTTTCCTTTACATTTTTCGTCACTATTTGTGTGCAGTATACAAAGGCATACGGCACATTTGTTTGTGTATCTTGGGTTTATGGCTCAGTCTAATTGAGTTTGTGCTGAAAAAAGACACCAATTGGGTAAGGACAATTTCACAGGTGCTAAACAAAGCCAACAATGAATGCATAGAATGCTGGCTACAATCTTCCTGCACTCCAGATGGTTAAACATTTAAATCAATTATATATTCATAAATATGACATTCAATATAGCCAGAGCAGTTCTCACCTGACAGTGTGGCTGTGAGGAGGTGCATGTCTGGGCTTTTTGAAAAGTTTTGTAGCAATCTGTGCCAGTACATGAACCAACATGGCATTTGTTTCCCTGAAAAAAAGAAAACAGAAGAAACAATGATACTAATGTCACACCAGACATGACTAGCAGAATTGTTCTTTAGACAGTCACATCTGTTTGCAGTTAGTGAGAAAAAACAAGAGGAGACGGAATGAACTTCAGTGATACACACAACTATAGCTTTCCTGTCACCTTATCTGCATCTATGAAAATGCGAGCAAACACAAATAAATCCCTCCGTTTGTCCTTACTTTGTCTGCCGTTGTCGTAAGAATGGTGGTTTTCATTGTGGGTTTGGTTGTTGTCGTTGGCATGACTAAAATCAGGAAAGGAAAAGAATGAACCCTTACAAAAATTGCAACCTTACAATTACAAGTATACATCTGTAAATATCATACATGAGATAAATCCTTAATTGCCTCGCTGTATTACCATCATTAAGACGTCATAACATGGTTAAAGATCAGTACCTGTGGTTGTATTCATCATCATCATGGATGCAAAAGTGCTATTAAGGCAGCCGGTAGAATTGCAGCAGTACACAGAGCAGTTGGTCTGAGAGGCGTTGACGCAGCTATCAGCACAGGACAAGCTGCAGCCAACGGTGTAACACATGTCCGTCTGTTTGATCAGCTGACACAGTGAAGAATGACATATTAGAAGACACATTTGAGATGCTTTTGCCTTTTTGAACATATCATTGACTATTAAGCAAGATATACTGACTTTCCTAAAAGAAGCAAAAGACTGTTAGGATGGTTCTTTGTTATGGACAATGCATCAAATCGTTTTGTTAAACTTTTTTTTCAGTATCATTTGCGTCCCTACCTGACACAAGCAGACACCATCAGCACATAATGTTGTATTCTGACTGGTGTACATTGTATAGCAGTCTGTGTAGTTACAGGTGAATGAGGGGCAGTACATCTGTGTTTGAGAGAGACGAAAAGTATATTATGAGGGTCAGAGGCTAAAGGGAAAATAACGCATAACATCATTACAGTTTACTCTAAATAAGGTGGACTTGCAATGCTCATCGATGTAACATTTACCATAGTGGTTCCATTCATACCAGTCATGCCACCTGCACCAAAAAGATAGATGTCATGATTAAAGATACAGAAAGATAGACAACATAATACGAAACACAATTCTCCTTTTTTCATGAAACAAATGAAGCCTTACAAGTAGAGTTTGATGAAGGAGTTGTGGACATCATTGAGGTCCAAGGACCAGAGTTTGAGGTCATGGAAGAAGAGGAGGAGGAGGAGGAGGAGGAGGCAGGCCCGGACATGGTGGTGGCTGTTAAAGCAAATGTAGAGGAGGCAGAGGTGGATCCTGGATTAATAGCATTGACTGAATTATCAGTGGTGATAGCAGCTGTAGATGCAGAATTAGCTGTGGTGCTGGTGCCAGACTGTGTGGTGGATGTGATGGAGGTTGCTATGCCTCCGGAGGTTGTTGTGGGAGACTGGGTGGCGGGTCCTGTGGATGCTGTGACTCCAGATGTTGCTGCCGGTGTAGGGGACTGGGTGGTGGATGCTGTACCTCCAGATGTTGCTGCCGGTGTAGGGGACTGGGTGGATGCTATCCCTCCAGAGGTGGTTATGGTTGTGACAGACTGGGTGGTGCTGCTAATTGTTGTACCTCCAACAGTGGTGGAGGTGGCAGGCTGGGCGGTGGGGGTTGCTGTGCTAACGGTGGGGGACTGGACCGTGGTTGTGGGTCCATTGGTGGTGGCTGCTGGGGCTCCAGTGGTCATGACAGTGGGGGACTGGGTGGTGCCGGTGGTTGTCATGGCTGCCATGGTGGTAGTAGGTGCTGCGGTTGACATGGAGGCAGTAGTGGAGGAGGACGGGATAATCGCAGACACTGAAGGCAGCAGTAGTCCAAACAGGAGGACGTACAGCATGCCTGTGCAGCCTTGTATTTTGGGGAAAAGAACATATGTATTTTATTGTATGGAAACCAGATATGAAATAAAAATCTGTTATTTAGCTGAGCTCGCACGTATTATATTTGTTTTACATTGGTTACCCAAAAAAAAATAGCCACTCAAATAATTTCTTAGAATGGCCGTGAGTTTAAAAAGTGTATTTAGGTTCAACAATACAAGTACTGTTAAGTGATTCCTAAAGAGAACGGCAAAGAAATAGCTCAAATAGACAGAATATAAACTAATAGGCATGTATGCTTGTACTTGTTTTGTCCACGCACAGAGCGCTGTGCACTGTAACTATGCCGACATGCATGTGTCATCTATTCACGAGAGCGCTACATAATGACAACTTTGCTTTTGGGACTGCGGCAATTCCCAAAGAGTCCCAAAGTTTCAATGGTTTTAACTGCATTTATTTATTTATTAACAAACACCTGTATTTTGACTTAGACAACCATTACAGTGTGTATACATTTTCTACATGGCACACTATATAATGTATAACAAGCAGTACAAGAAATAGAAAGGAGATGTTTCAGATATAAAACATTATCATTGGAGACATTTTAGGTTGTGTAAAATGTTTTTTTTAAATTTGGCTAATCTTTAATGTTTTTTTTATGCATGCTTCTTAGTTAACATTAAGCTGTCTTTGGCTCTTTTCCCGCTGTAACAAATGCAAATGTCCCCTCTGTGGGACGAATTAAGGTATTCTGATTCTCAACTCCATTAATACGATATCTACTTTAGTTTTTCCCTTTTGACTGTATTTCTTTTGATAATTTTCCTTATCTGAATTTAGAATCTCAAGATAGAGAGTGTCGCTTCTTGCATTGCAAACAAAGTTAACTTTACTTTACTGACAAGCTTGGCTCGTTCTTCTATGTAGCTCAAAGTGTTATCGTGTATGTAAGCACTGACAGTGATTTTAAATGAGCAAACACACACTCATACCTGTGTCTTTTATGAAAGCAGCAGAGGCCATCATCACATTAGCAGAAATGGAGAGAGCTCTTTGTCCAGTGTGTACTGAAGTCATTTCCTAAAAATCATAATAAAGGGAAGAGAAAAACACACAACTTACTGAGCTGAGAGATGTTCTGCTACTAATGCACTATTAGTACACAGACGTAAAATAACAAATGTCTGCTTGCAGGATAAACAGAGCTGTGACAGACAGTGCTGACAATAGATCTTTGTGAGGGATGGTAATATGGGCACAATGGAAATTGTTTACCATAGCCATGCATGACCTTTCATTGTATCCCACCTGGGCGCTTCTTTTGATATGACACTCAGCTGAGTCTTATCTGTTTACAATCCTCTAATTGTTCAGGTAAACTGATCTCATAATTGTTTAGTTGACAATAAGACATTGATAAATGTGAGATTTAAAGCTACAATAATATTCTTTTATATTTGTACCCACAGTTTTTCACATTATATTGGTCTTGTAACATTATCAGCACTATTTATTACTTTGTTTTGTCTTGCATGGATATGTATAGTTTTCTTCTTCCATTTGTTTTATAATTATGTTGCTTTGTTGGAGGTTTCTTTCCCATTATACACTGTAGCTTCTGTGCATATGAACTCAAAGCCTTTGAACCTAGTTTCATCTAGAACAAAAGCTTAGTCATAACATTTTAAATCAAGCATGAGAAGCAATTTCCATCAATGGTCTCCCCTGCATGAGGTCATTTTTGCCAAGACTAATTCTGTGTAGTGACTTGCAATTATATCATATATCTGTTTGCAGTGGTTTATTATTGAAGACAATTAAAATGTGTTTGTTCCTCCATCAGTCCCCCTGGGAGAGACGCTGAGCTGCACGGCTTGTTTTTTCCGCTCTCCCCTGGAACCCAGCCCGGCCTCCTATGGGCTCTACACCCTGGAAACTGGGTGACAACAGTGGCCATTTTGGCCTCTGGGTGAAAATGCATGAGTTTAATTGGAAAAAGGGAATATAATATATCCAAGAGAATATTCAGATTGATGAATAGCATCAAGAGGTGTGTTCGGGTGTTACATTTTCATGCTGTTAATTACACCTTCCTGGGGTTTGCATTTTAATTATGTTGTACTGGTGATCGGATTCAAGATTGAATTTCAGGACTATTCAAACGAAAACAAAATGAACCCTCAACATAATCCAAATGTAATGTAAATATTTGTGTCAATGTGATTTTTGAGATGAGGAAAGGCTACAAGCGGAAAACCGGAAATGTTAGAGTTTGTCACAATCAGCCAAAACATTAATCTTAAGGATATGACTCATCCTTATGAGATTTAGCGACTACAAAACATGTTAAAATTGCCTGAAATACAGACAAATTTACTCTGAAGTGAAAATGATTGTAAATGAAATCCTCGATATAAGTTATTGTTTTAGAGAAACATTTGGACCAGAAGCATCAAAACATAACTGATACCACAAATTCCCCCGCTGCTGTATCATTCTCAGGCTACAAAAGCACCACTGTTTCTGACCAGCATCTCCCTGTGCACAAACATCAAAGCTCTATTTAGCTGAATTCAAATCATGCTCACAAAATCTAACATTTAAAATCAGAAAGGTTCCTATTGAAGTCCACTCACCTGCTGTGAACTCTCTGGGTTTTTTGTTGTCAGCTGTGGTTGAAGTGAAGGACCTCTCTCTCTCTCTCTGGCTTTCCTATCTCTGTTGCTCTCTGTCACCACCCCCCCTTCGCTTCCTGCCGACACTCAAGTGGTAACGTAATAAGAGGAAACTCTCACCTGCACAGCTTTAATGTTGTGAGAGGAGGAGACTAAAGGCCTGTGGTTGCTGGGTGGGTCTAAAGACGCCCTATAATTGATGTGGAAATGATTCTTGGAAAAAGGTACTTTGGGTATTTTCAAGGTGAAAATACATAATCAAAACAAAAAAAACATGTTTCATAATTTTCGCTAAATGACCTTTTATGAGTTTTGATGTCAACATAGAATGACTTGCTTGATTTAAACACCAATTAATTGAAATTGTAAAGAAGTATTTATAAAAAATGTGCTGTATTTCATATTGCTCCATGGGATCAACAGGTGCATAAACACTTTTAAACAACGTTTCTACCTTCAGGGATCAACATATCTTGTGCACTGTACAGTATGAATCAACATAAAAGAAGATATTACGTGACAGTACTTTGCATTGTTTCGGTTGCTTTGGTTATAGTTTGTTTAAACTGTGCACCCAGCATTTAAAGATTTACTAAAATAACTCAGCGGATTAAGCCTTTGTGAGTCTATACGAGTACAGGTGAGATTTCACTGCCCTGTGGGGTGATTGTATAGGAAACTCCTGGTTTCTGTTCAACACAATGTGAAATCAGACCCTCTCTCTCCCTCTGCCATAAAGCCCCCACACACTACAATTACCTCTTTGTGGACTAAAGACCGTAGAATTCTTGGGCACCACACAAAAGGCACAATTCAGGTGACAGAAGTCCTTCCCTTTTACATCACAGCTCCATGAGACACGCAAAATGGTGTCTGCTGTGTTTGGATTATTCAATGTGTTGATACAAATGATACACAAAGGTTCAAGAGAAAATTATGTTAGTAAAATCAAGTCTGGCTTGCAATTCTACTTGTGATGTACGATATTTTATTATTTCTGGAGTTGTATACAGTCAGAAAAAAGCTTTTTACGTATCAGAAAACACTTGAAGGATACAAAAATGATGTAAACTATGTGTCCAAAAGACTGTGTCTGCACCATCTGTGCATCATTGCTGTTGTCAGTGGGGTAAAATGTACAGCAGGTGTAACAAAATGCCTTTAAAACAGTACTAACATTTATTCATATATGTCAGTACAGCAGTAATGTTACATCTGCCAATGAGGTATGTTCAGTGTGTTTGTGTGACTGTCAGCAGGATAACTGCACTACTATGAGCCCAATTTACATGAAACCTGGTTGTAAGGTGAATCAATGGGGAAAAACCCATTTAATTTTAGACCAGATCCAAATCACAGGCCGCAAACACAAAGGATTATTCACTTTTGTTGATGGAACATTTGGCCTATGCAAAAGTCTGTGCCCCTCAAGTAAAGTGAAATGCCTTTGGTTTCCTTTTACGTGAGGGAAGCAGTTTGTGCCCACACTTCTGTTTGGAATACAGTTAAATAATTAAATAATAACTATTGTAATGTACTTAAACATATAAGTACTATTTTAACCCTTCTCTTGCGTTAGGTCATACTATTTTCGGTTAAAATTGACGGGTGTGTTTTGCACAGTGATATCTCTGGAACCCCTAATCCAATTTTGATGGTTGACCTCTCATTTGAACAGTCAAAGCAAGTAGAATCAAGGGGTGGCAGACAGAATGACACCAGGGGTGAATTTCAAGTTATACTTTTGCAGTAAGTTCAAAGATAGTGCTTACTGTACATTACTGTATATGATAGAAATGCTTGCCATGTAGGGTGTGTTTACTGGAGATGGAAATGCTTTAGTTGGTGTTGTAGCTGAGATTCTTCCCGTTCCAATGATGTATGGGATGTATTGATTTGATACAAGCAAGTCAGTGTTTCATTGTGTACTTTCAACTACAGTATATGGTCCGGACCCACCGGTGGGCCCATCATGTTCAGCATTCACTGCATTCACTGTGAGGAATATAAAATAAGATACTGATAATGTTTTCCTCAATGAACATTTAGAGAAAAATAAATATTCAGAGCTCCTCTCCCTCAGGGGCCTCTTCCTGGTCTGTTGACTGTTGGTCAGGCTCATAGTCTGGATCGCTGTTGTCTTCCATTTCTGAGACATCGTCGTCTATGTCTGGTTCAATCTCCTCTTCATTTGGTTCAAAACATTTGTCCAGAGCCTCTCTGACAGAAAATTGCCTAATCGGTCGCCTACTCATTGTGTCAATGAGTCAAATGTGAGCAAGGCACAAATATAACTGCATGAGAGACAGTAATGGAGGGGCATTTACTGCGAGAAAGTGAGAGGTTTTTCTTTCTCGAGGGGCACAGAGCTTGCACCTGTGAGAAGGTATGATACATTGTATCATACAGCGCGAGAAAGTGAAAGGTTCCAGTAACTTAGAGTAAATTGTTTTTTCTGGAAGGTGTGGGGGGACATAAGCACAAGAAGTGTGTGTGTGTGTGTGTGTGTGTGTGTGTGTGTGTGTGTGTGTGTGTGTGTGTGTGTGTGTGTGTGTGTGTGTGTGTGTATGGAGATGTTCCATCAGCAGGATGAACATAACACACTCATATTCATTTCCTATGGCGGTCAATTCTGACCGAAAACATCATGGGTGTTTCACTGTTGAATACATCACTAATAAAATCAATGCAAGTGGTGGTCATCAATTGTATATGTTCAGAGGCCTAGTGTGGAGGATAACATAAGGTCTTGAGGCAATTGGATGAAAAACACAATATTTATGATCAAAAACAAAGTCACTCGGTCACTTTTGACCCGAAACGCAAGAGAAGGGTTAAGACAGACCTCTAACATTTGAACCTTTTTTTTTAAACACAAGAGTGCAAGACCTATCAAGACTGTACATATTAGTCTTTTAGTAGATAGCTCCAGTCTTTAATGTCCCGTGAGGGAGATTTGTTTCACACATATACACAAAGCATACATGCAAAGCCCTGCGCACTTTTTTGCCTAGCATATGCAAAAAAATATCCTCATTATTAGCATAGTTCCAAAATGTCAATGTCATTTCCAAAGTTAGCCTCATAGTCAAATTTGTGACTGTGTGCAGCTTAGATTACTCAGATATCATTGTTATTTTTTTGCACCTGGGATGTAGTATCAGTATATTATTTGTTTGCATGCACATGGATAATTTTTGTATGAGTACATGACCCGAGAGTGTTCTCCGTCTCTCTGAATGACAGATACACGCAGCACACCTGAACACAAGCTGACCATGCAAGGGCTGAATTTAAACGGCTATTCATGCACAACAATTAACCATGTAGATATTGTTCGCAGGCTCGTATTTCACTTGAATGCCCAGATTTACTTTGAAACCAAAGACTCTTGTACGATTCAACCAGGGAGAAATGCTGCCTCATTTTCACACTTGATTTCCTAACAATAAGACATGAAAACATATCTTTAATAAGGTTTCTGACTGGCTAAAAATGTTATTATGTTTATAATAAAGAGGGTCAAGATATGTAAATGTTTTTAGTATAATGTAAGTCTGGGTTGCATTCTTACTTCTAATATTTTTCTGGGGGACGGTCTTATAATTATAGACTTTCTGTACAATGTCATATACAAAGTGTCATTTCTATGGCATTATTTCAGTTGTGTGAAGCTCTCTATCCAAATCTTTTTTAGAAATGAAATGAATGGTCTAAACCAGGGGGGTCAAACTCAAATACACAGTGGGCCAAAATAAAAAAATCGGTACTAGTCGAGGGCCGGACTGGTTCAATGTTTATTGCAAAACTTATTGAAATGAACTTATTGCACATATTAAACCTGGAACTAACAAATCTTAAATGATTGCCTATAAAAACAACATTAAACATTAAATAATCAGTTGCATTCATTTCTTATGGCTCTATCTGCAGATTTTCCAAAGTCATTTCTTATGATTACATTTTTCCACAGGCCAACAACAGCTTCAAAAAAACTATTTCCCTCAAAGAAAAAACAAACATGCCCTGTTGTTGCAAGAAAAAAAGTGCAGAAGGAAACACCCATTGAAACTCAGTTTGCTGCTCGGTGATGCACACTAAGCCAGATACTTGGCATCTCATCTTGGGTGCAAGTTCATCAATGTTTGGGGTCAGGCTCTGAGCTGAGGAAGGTGTGCGTGCAATATACCGGCGGGCCAGATCTAATAGTAATTAAAAATTATACTGCGGGCCGAAATTAAATCCACCAAGGGCCTGATTTGGCCCCCGGGCCTTGAGTTTGACACATGTGGTCTAAACCACAACATGAGGATTTGTTAATGGCAATACATTTATAATATTTTGTTAAATAATAAACACAAAGCACCGTGTCCACACACATTTTGGGTTCATGCTCCAGCAATTTGGATATTAATACAAGGTTTACAATGTCAAATTTGAGTTTAACATCCACACTAAACACAGAACAGCAGGGTTTTGTATGCATGCAGTAACACAAAACAACCAGACAACATTCCTAGCTTCAAGTCTCTAAGCCCTGATTTTGTAGGTTATTTGATTTAAAGATGATCATATCAAACAATGTTGTCCCTTAAAACTAAATATATAATACAATCAATATAAACAGCATTAGACATCAATTCATCCCCATGACATGCTCAAAGGTGGGGTAGGTAATTTTGGAGAAACCAGCTCGAGTGCGCTAGAATTTGAAAATACACAACCGGAAAAAATCTGCCACTTCCTTACAGAGACCCTCCTCCAACACACACGAACGTGCACATGACCAATGAGCGCACGAGATAAGTTTGTGCACAGATGGAAGGCTGACAGGCAGGTAGGCCATCCAGTTATTTTAGCCGGGCCGGCTAAAATGATTGGTCGTGCTTTTTACAGCGTCACGGCTTCCACAGATGACATTTTTTTAATGTATTTATTGTCAAAGCATTTAATATATTCATTGCTATCGGGATGTTAAGAGCATTCCATGGAATATAACAAAAAGTGTTTCTGAAATAAATGACATACCCCACCTTTAATCTTAAACTCCCCTGCAATGGGCATTAGTTCAGTC